ATGCCACCGACGACGAACACGACGCTCAACCTCGTACCACACCCTATCGAGTCAGAGAAACCGGTCCTCGTAAAGGCTTCAGTGTCCCTGCCCAGGTTGTTGTCGATCGCCCCCACCTCGCTCCCGTTCTCACTCCCTCTATCTCCGGCGACGGCGGACTTCAGGTCCTTCCTTTCTCATAATTTACAATTCCCCACATTCTCCAAATAGTTTTGCTTTTTTAACCGTTCAATCTGATTTTAGAAACCTAGAAATTCATTACTGTTCCATTTCTTGATAGCGACAAAATAACTGCTTGGATCTTATATGCCATTTCCGATTTTTCACTTTTTAATACGCAATTTAACTTAACGGAAAATGGATTGAATCTCGCGTGTATGCAATTGCACGGATATGTTTAAGGAAAAGGAAAACTCGTGCTTAAGGCTTGCTTAGATAAACTTCTCCGAAAGCACTTTGGATGAAAAAAATTACAAAGGAAAAATGAAACAAACCTCTTCATAAGCTAAAACTAACTTATGTACAAGTCAATTTATAATTTTTGGAGTAATTATATGAAGAAAGTTTTACAAATTAGTTTATGCATAAGTTAATTTTAGCTTATGGAAAAACTTATTTCATTTTTCCTTCTTATTTTTTGCTCCTAAGAGTGTTTCTAGAGAAGTTTATTTGAAGAGACCTTACTTTTGTGCTTTTGGAACATCAAGGATCTTGTGAATGGTTGAGATTCAGCAGAGGTTATTATTAATATCTTTTATTCTAGTTTCTAATTCTATTATTAGGCGTGTATATAACATGATTCTAAAACTATGTAGTTCCTGTTTTTAGTCTTTGTGTATGCTTATGCACTGCAGCTGAAACTCTTGAAAATAGCATCTTATAATGTTAGCGTTTGTGAAGATCATGCCGCTTTTCCATTTTTTTCTTTTGGAGTTTGTACCCCTAGGGCTGAAACGTGCTCTTGACTTCTAGGTGGTGTTGTATACTTATATTTTTTTAGTTTTCTTTCATTGCAAAAGTAGTAGATAGGTGTAGCATATTGTAATGTTGCAATGGTAAGTTGGATAACCATTTGTCTTTGTTTTTCTTACTTCATTCTGCACAAGTACCTGAACTTTTAAGTATTTTGTTTCTAGTTGCTTGGGGATGCTTTAGTCAACTTTTGTAAGCATGAGTGAAATTGGCAACATTTGGCTTTCTTTGTACATTGCAAAATCAGGTTGGAGGTGTCATAACATTGGGGAGGGAAGATGTGCATGCTTATCATATTCTACGGGAATTACTTCATCCTTGTATAGTGTAGAAGTTTAATCTGCTGTATATTTCTCTCACATAGAGTATATGAGTGGATGAACTGTTTGTTTCTCAACTCAAAATGAGATGAGTGATTAGATTTTTGTGACAATCGTATCCAGTCTTTGTAGTATAGGAAAAAGTAGGGTTGTCGATCCTCAGAGACTTGGAAGTTATTTTTAATTTACGTTATCTTAATTTAAACTTGAATAAGAAATTTATATATATATATATATATATATATATATCCACAAAATATTAACAAGAGGTTCATAACAACTTTAGATGTTGTAATAGTAAGATAAGATTGCAAATCAAATCAAGAAGTAGAAAATATCATATTTAAGAGCTATTGGGATTAAATTCCACCTATCTCTCTCATGTGTTCCTATGATCATCATTCATATATAACTCAATTTTAGATGTTGTAACAGTAAGATAAGATTGCAAATCAAATCAAGAAGTAGAAAATATCATAATTTAGAGTTGTTGGGATTAAATTCCACCTATCTCTCTCATGTTTTCCTATGATCATTCATATATGAACCTTATTATCCAATGTTATTGAGTTCATGAAAATCATTCTAAATCAATTCCTTGCATTTAGAAATTTTAAGGGACCTAACTCAACAATTGATTCCTTTAATTATCAAGCTAGACACCTTGCATTAAACGTTAAGAACTTGACTAACGAACAATCTCAAAACTATTCCTAGACTTTGAAATTGATAGGTGATTAGATTCAGAAATTATTTTCCAACCAAATTCTAAACCAAAGATCAAATATGAGAGATCAATTCATCCAAGCATTAAGAACAGAACCATAATCACTAACATTGAATAATACATCATATATAAATGAATCAAAAGGAATACACAAGAGTTGACGGTTTACATTTAATCCCAACAAAACAAAAGGATCAACCCCTCATAAAGGTAAGAACCAATCCAAGATACAAGGAAAATGGAAAAGAGAAGAAAAGAAATCCGTAAGAACCCTCGTTCCCAGTTGGTTCCAAGATCCTTCAAGCTTTGTTCTTTCTTTTGCCCTGATTCTATATTCTCCTCTTGTTTCTCCTTTTTTATGTCAACCAAAAATAAAATAGTGTGGAAGAGTGAGATTAAACCGCTCAGCGCTTTTCAAACGGCTAAGTGGTTTGAACATTCTTCATAGTGAAGAAACATCAATGGCTAAGCCTTCGGGGATTTGTTGAGCCCTTTGAGGTCAGATTCTTCATGTCCTCTGGACCGAAACCACTCAGCACTCTCCAAATGGCTGAGCGGTTTTGGGTTTTCCAAAATCCTTGATTTCTACCTTCAAACTGCTTAGCACTTTGCCAATGGCTGAGCGGTTTTGGGTTTGAACAATACTTGTTTTTTCACTTGCAAGACCACAAACCCAAAATCAATATACAAAATGTCATCATTTCTCAACAAAATATTTAATTTCATATCCTTTTGACTCGAGTTACAAACATAGGGAGTTTACTTATCAATTTCATATCAAACTAGCTAGATAAGTGTCTAAAATGATCAATTAATTGAGTAAATTAGACACTTATCAATAAGGAGCATGAAAAGGGAATTATAAAAAACTTGAATTGCTAATGATAAACCTTTACATGGCTTGTGTTGTACCATGTCTTGTTTCAAAATACTTTTCAAGTATGTTCTATTCATCATATCAGTGGGCCTTGTCCTTGTTTGATGATCAAGAATTCTCATTATATAGCTTTTTTGTGCTTAACTCTTTAGTGGATAGTGTTTGTTTGTACAGTCATGGTGGTCAGTATTATGTATGTATGAGTTAAGAAAATGAAACAATTTGAAGTTAAGGCACGTGACTCCAATCAATGTTAGATGAAAGAGGGGAAGGGAAACATAGTTGCTAACTAGAGTTATTGGACATTCATGACCTTACAGTTTTACCTTCTACACTTTCGCTTTCTTTTGTCTTCACTGCTAGCTTTTTGTATTAAGTGCAGCGGATGACAATAACCCTTTGTTGTTCATGCAATTTGCAATGATTCTTTTTGCTATGTTGCCTCTGAATCCAATCATTTTGATGTATACATTTATTTAGTTATCTTATTGATTAAATTTGGGAGCTACATGGTCAAATGATTTTTCCCTATTAAAGTTACTATCAGCATGTGTTTCATTTTTATTTTATTTTTGTTTCTCTTCATCAGGGTCTGAGATGGTATGTAAAGCGTCTTAAGATGGATGAAGATGGAGATGTAGCAGATGAATTCCTTGATGAGGTTTCGTCTGAGATGCCTGAAGCACTTGCAGTGGATCATCATAAAACAACAGCAAGGTTCAAACTGAAGAATGATACCAAGCCAGCCAATGTGAAGAAACAGATCCTATTAGATGGGAAAATTATTCCACAGTTTGCAGAAGACAAAGGCAGATTACCATAAAAATTGGTATGGTTATTGATTAGTTGGGCTTTATCTGTTTAGTTGCGCATACAATGGAAGTTGCCGTTGAAACACCAATATTCTAACTGAGCTTTACTTGATGCCTTTCTGCTCTTTAGCTTTGTCTTTCAGTGTAAACAAATGGGAATTGCTGCATTTGATGAAACTGTGTGGGAGTTAAATGTACAATTTAAGGAAGTCTGGGTAATGTTACCGGCTACCCAACAAATTTAACTACCAAATCTCATGTCCAAGCTATAGAGGTTGTCAGGTTTTTAGGTCTAGCGGTTTGAATTTTTTTTTGCTACGAGAATTGCATAATGTAGGAGGTATGTGAGTAAAAGAACCACGTGTGAGATCTACAAAGAAGCTCTGAACTTTAACAAGATGCATTTGAATAGTTCTTTGTGAATTATGGTAGTCTCCTGTAAGTATTGAAATGTTGGACAGATGATTCTGCTAACTAATTGTGACAATTTGTTCTATGGTTCTCCTTTGTAGCTATTGCTTAAACTGTTTCTGTGCTTATTAAATTCATGAAATGAAATTTAGATTAAAGAGATGGATCATCAATAATGATGGCACGTTGTACCGACTGAACGTCTTAAGATTACTGAATTGAGAATTATTATCAGTTCCTCAGCTTAAGGTGAGAATTTTATTCAAAGGCAAGGTTGTCGATGCAGCTTCCTCGGTAAGCTAGATAGAAATTTTTTTACCTGTATTAATCTTCTAGATTGTGTATAAGCAACGGTGAATGGCCTAGTTAGAACAATTAACTGGATTAGTTGAACATCCTAGATACGCCTAAAAATTGTAGAAAATGATCACTCAATACATTAAATGATTTTTTTTTGTTATTGATGAATTTCCCTCTATTTTCATTTATAATAAAAATTAATTAACTTATTTATTATTTAAGTTGGTTAACATTATTTAATTTTGCCATTCTTAATTTTTTTATACTGCCCTTCATTTGAACTTAATATCAAGAATAAGTCATTGAAAATAATTTTAATTAAATAAAGGGTATTTTAGAAATGGTAGTATTAAATATTTAATTGAATAAAATTAATTACGTTTCGTAAATATTTTGGTCCACCACTATAAGAGTTTTATTTTCTTTTACTTATATTCGAGTTTGGAGGGAGCATATTAATCATTGGTAAAAAATATGATATAATTTTTTTTTTGTATTTGTTTATTATAAGCGAGATCTAAAACATAGTAATAGGATATTTTTTGTGTATTATAATGGAGATCATGTATGCTACCCGAATAGGTCTACTTGATGAATTTACGTGTATAGACTTAATTTATGCTGTAGGCATTAATTGGAAGGGCGTGTGTTAATGTTCCATGCATGCTACACGAATAGGCCTACTTGATAAATTTACGTGAATAGACTTGATTTATGCTACATTCACTTTTTTTTTTTTTTTTGTTCGTTTATGGAGTATCCACCGCTGATAGCGGTGACTAATCTCCTCGCTACGAGGGAGGCACCTCAAAGGGTGAGATAGCTGACCCCAAGATTTAACGCGACTGCATACACAAGACAGGATTCGAACCCCTGACCTTATTTAAGCGTGGATCAACTCCTACCACTAAATCACACGCTTACATTCACTTCACATGTATAGACCTACTTGGTGTTAATGTTACATGTAGGCTACCAATGTTACAAGAAGGTATTTCGTATGGAGTTGAATCGCAATAAACAGTGTAAAATAGGAAACTATACGGAATTTACGTAAAAAACAAAAATTGTGCTTGCTACTAAAATCCATGGTGAAACTTTGAATAACCTTCGATTCTTGGGAGGTGGTGATATAAATTAAATATATGCTTTGATCTGGCTGAAATTTTTTGAATATTTTCTGTTGAAATGACGCCGTTGAGATGAATTAGTACACACAACATACTGAATTGGTATTAAAATGGGCTGGACCGACTAGTCTAATATAAAATATAGGTTTCAAAATTCTACAAAAAAAAACGATTAATTGAACTGAGCTCATAAGCCCAGTGTTTTTTCTTTAAATTATTTTAAAAATAATTAAAGCTTAAAATGTTGCATTCAAAGGCTAAATCTATATCGATATATAAAAAAAGATACATTCTCACTCAGTTTATTTTTAAAAGTTGTGGAGGATGAAATGTTTTAAAAATAAACTTATGAATTTTAATTTTCATGTTTTAGTCTACTAACTTCAATAACTGCAAGTTTCATTTCTATTACAAATAAAAATTGTGTGAAATCAAGTTTGAAAAATGCTTTATTCCTCAATAATGATAAAGCTGAGCAAGCTCACCTAATCTAACTAAAGATACTGCTTTGGAAAGATGGCCACAGCCACTTATTGTTGTTATAGGGCTTGCTTTTGGCTCAAGAAACAAAGACAGCCAAATATCTCGGTCTAAACCTAAAATGATGCACACCTTACACTTACGAATGTGTAATTTTCAATTGAACGTGACACTTTAAAACGGGTGGAACACAAATATTCAGCGGAGTGTTCATAACCATACGTGAGCTGTGATAATCAAAAGGATGTTGGAAATCAAAGAAAGAGCCAGCAGATATTCACATTGATCGGCTTTTGTACCTCATAAAGCTTCAAATTGAACACTGAAAACGACGTTAGTTGAGTAAATCTACCAAAAGGGTGCCTATGTTGTGATTCAGAGAAAAAGACTGATCCAGCAAACCTGTCTGCAACATGCTACATATATGTTGCCGGCAGTAGCAGATATGGGCTCACAGTAGAACTAACATATTTACACGTGCAAGAGTTATATGTTGCTGCCAACATGTTGATCAACAACGCGCAAGGTTTATCTACCTCAATGGAGTTAGTCTTGCTAGTCAAAATGACAAAATCAGGACTTAGTTACCACAGAAAAAGAATAATGGACAACCTCTGCAAAATCATTCTACCTTGCATCAATTTCATTTCTAAAATGCAAAAAATTCTATATCGATGTTACTTTGCTGCCATTTCGGCCCAATGTATATGCTGCAAACATCACTAGTTGTGCAAAAAACTAATACTGCCATTTCGGCCCAAAGTATATGCTGCAAACATCACTAGCTGTGCAAAAAACTAATAGGATACCAAACTAGTTGTGCAAAACCAATACGATACCACACTAGTTGTGCAAAAAAAGACCAGACAAGTTTTGCTATAAAGGAAAAGGTAGCAGTTAGAATAATCGCTTCCTGCACTCTGGAGCTCCACAATAGCATGGCATTTGCTTAATATTTCCATCAGAGTCCAAGACGCTGTCAAGCGCATAACCATAGTCATAGGTTAGTTCCTGCAAGTAATCAAAGAGATTCAACAATAACTAAAAATAGTACAGAATAACCTCAACCCAATAATAAATGTAAACAAAACTAGTTCTACAAACGATTTATACCACAGCAACCCTCCCCAATCCCAATATGTTAACAACATCCCAAAGGAAATAAACTGGAAGGAAATACAAAATGAGTAACCTGCAAAGGAGGTATGTTGTCGGCGGCAAACAGCATCACACGAGCCAATCTCAAATCATGGTGTGTGCTCAAGACACATTGAACAAATAGATTAGGCTCACAACAATGGTTTATAAACCTAGCAACATTTCCAGTAGACCCTGCATCAATGCAAAACTCTGGTGCACTTTCAGAACTTTGATCATCATATTTTCCCAAAAGATTTGTAGGAATCTCCCCATCTTGTGACCGCCTCTCTCTTCCACCAAGACCCTTGATTGTTTGCAAGCAATCAATCTCAAAAATATAATTGTTTTCCAATACACTGTCCATATCTTCCGTTCTAGCAAGTATTCCTGTGTACTCACAAACTGGCGCTCCAGAAGGTATAAAATCCCAGGATCTAACAGCCCATCCTTTTTTGGCAGTGCGGAAAACCTCCAGCCGATATCTCGGCGGCTTTTGAGAAGTTCGGTTCACACAATTAGGACCACAACCACATTTGGGACCACATTCAAATACAACATCTTTCGCTTCAACTAACCTGTCAATATAGACAAGAAAAAAAAAACATCAAATATTACAGCAAATAAAATTCAATAGCCATTTAACCAATAAAGTTTCTAACCTGCCACCATTGTGAGATACATAGGGAAAATCAGAGTCATTAAGCGTCGCACATGCACAGGTTGTTGGGTCCCTACAACCATCCCCTTTGCATCTGCACCCAGAGACACTGGTGGGAAGCTTCACATTTTTTGCAACCTTAACATACTTACAATATGTAAAACCTGTAGGTGGAACAGGGGGATCATCAACCAAATTGGTAGCCGGAATGGGCACATCTTCTTGACCTCCACTGATATCCTCACAAACCAAACCTCGTATTTCCGCTAAAGAACGCGGTACCCGTCCATTGGTAAAATACACCTGATTTGTGGTTAATGTAGATTGCCCTTCCAGCCTCCTAAGTCGAAACTTGTAGACAGTAAACCCAGAGATTCCCTTCTCTGCCCAATAATTGACAACCTTGTACAAGCCATCATATGTGTATACTTTCTTAGTGTAACTGCTTGAAGATCCATGACCACGAATGACTCTAACAGGCACACATTGCTCAGCACAATTCTTGAGAGCCAGGTTACCCCGCTCCAACAACTGGTCCTTAATTTGCCGCTTATTACCTGTCAGATTATGTCCCCCTTGACCTGTGTAGATGACATCCTCAGCGTTGTCCAAGTCGTCCTCATACATGCCTGATAAAACAATTGCAACAGCAACTGGTAATTCATAGTTGCTATACACTTTGGAATAAGCCATGCCAACAAAATCGATGCCATTTAACCAGTGGCTATGAAAACCAACTGCAACCATTTCAGCACGAGAATAGAACTGATACCCAACCTGAATACCTGGAATGCTGCCGATTCTTTTTTCAGGGTACAGTATCTCGTTGTTTCCCATCATCTTCGTTATGGCCTTTAGATCTGGTCGTTTAGAACCCTTCTTTGAATCTTTAGGTGGTGGTGTAGCATCTTTCTTCCTGAAATTCGAATCCTTTTTAGATCCATTCTTTGAATCTTTCTTCTTGGATTTGGAAGCATTCTTAGAACCCTTACTAGCATCATCCCTCGCACACCTCTTCTCTTCTTCCTGAATAAAATGCAGATAGTATTTATTAAATATCCTAATGGTCTCTTTGACCTTAGCCAAGTCACTCTTCTCTCCGGAACCACCAACCCCGGCCACATTCTCCGATTCTTCCTTCGCACTCACGTCACCGTTGGGGCATGCCGCCACCGCCGGCTTCTTCTTCTTCCTCGGCCGTGAGGCAGCGTCTTCTTCCTCCTCGCCGCCACTCTTTGTTCGGTGCTTCTTCTTCGGCTTGGCGGCAACCTCGTCGCATTCGTCTTTGTCCTCGACTAACACCGCTTCTTGACGAGAAGGAATCTCCTCGGACTTTTGACGAGCAAGAACCTCCTCCTCCGCTTTCTTCAACGCTTGGATTCGAGCGCTCGACCTCCGCGGCATTGCGGAAGCGTTCGATTTCTTCCCCCCCTTGGGCCCTTTTCCGGCATTCTTGGCCTTAGCTTTGGAATTGGAACTCTTTTCCGCTCTCATAGCAACCATTATATGCTGGTGAACCACGTCCAGAGACTGCGCAACCATCTAGATCAACACAATTTTCTCACTCGCTTCGATTATCCAAATTATAAGGATTTTAGGGTTAGGGTTCCCAGACCCAAACAATGTCCAGAACACAGAAGGGATATTATTGTCCATTATTACTTCAATTAATTAATTAATATCACCAAACTTTCCCCCCCAAAACTTGGAACCCAAACGACTCCTTTTTCAGAATCCCGCCCAAAATAAGGGTATAAATGTAATTATAATAATTCTTTCAATTTACCCATAAATTCTCAATTTCCCATTTCCATTTAATATTTCATTACTGTTACTCCTATTAAACTAATTAATTTCAAGATTTGTTGTATTTAATAATAACTAATGTTAAATCAAATAATTTTACACTCTTCAACTTCTCCATTTAGAATTATCATGAATAAACATTAGTTTTTAAATTAAAATAAAATAATTAAATGAGTCAAAATGTTAGGGTATTGTTCATATGCAATGCAAATATCAATTTAATTCTTTATAATAAATGTGTTCCTGGTTGAAAAATGCATATTTTTTTTCTCAAAACAAATCACATATATCAAGATTTTAATATTCACATGGAGTTAAGATTAAGGGTGGACAAAGAATTGGGTATGATTCAAAATACTCAATCTAACGTGAACCAATGATGACTAAAAAATATAATCTATTTTTACTCGATTCTTTAAATTTGATTATGATTGTAATAGTTATACCTAATTAAATCTTTTAGAATTGTACACCAAAAAGAAAATCTTGTACAGTTAATTAGAATATTATAGTCTTATATTTAATTATGTTTTGTTAAAAGATTGTTTGTAGTAATTTTTATGAAAAAGAAACCAATGAGCATATTTTGTTGGAACGAAAAATGGCGCGGAGGTGGAGCGTTGCGGGAAGCGGAGGCGGAGAAAGAAAAATGCGAGGAGGTTACCGCGAAACGAAGAAGAAGGCGGCGGTGGCATGGGCCAACGGTGAAGGAAGAATCTTTTATTGAAGAAGAATAAAACAAGTGTGAAACGCCGTTGGTGGTAAGGGTTCTCAGAAAGTTTCCAAATCGAAGCAGAAAGATTCAAAGAAAGGTTCTAAAAGGATTCGAAATCCAAGAAGAAAGATGCCGCACCACCACCTAAGGATTCGTAGAAGGCTTCTAATCACGGATGCATCCAACTGCCAAACTATGGAGCAACTTAAATGTATTTCATTATAAAATCTATCTCCACACACATGTATATATATATAGATATAGATATAGATATATATTATCTTTATAAAATAAGTGCTTAAAATTATAAAATATAAAAATAAATTATTACTAATTTTATTATTTTTTATCCTAAATTTTACTATTTCATTTTTAATCTAACTAAATAAATCTCACAAAATTACAAATACATATCTTAATACAACATATCAAATAGAAAAAATAAATAGAAATTATTGATTAATTTACTAAATAATTTTTATTTGCAGAAAATAAGGTATTTAATTTTTCATGAATATGTATTTTATAAAATTTTATTATGTTTTTATAAATGGATAAAAAAAATATATTTATTATTCACATTTATTCATTTAAGTTATCTATTTATAATCTATGATGATTTTATTTGTAGATATTTATAAATAAGAATTTTTTTGTCGTCCATAATTTTAATAAATTAAAAAAATACCTACCTATCTTAATTTGAATTAATTAGAGTTTAGTTTGACTTGAAAAAATAAATTATTTTTTATTAATTAATAGATTTATTTGAAAATACATTTTTCGTCTTTTATATTATTTATTAGTATTAATTTAGTTTTACTTTAATTAATTGAATCAATTTAGTCTCACATCTTTAAAATGTATTTCAATGTTTGATTTTCTATTTCCTTAGTTTAAATACTTAGAGCAACTCCGATGAAAATTGCTTGGCTCATCAAGCAACTCTAACATGAATTTCTTACCATTGGAGAGGTATGAGGTGGCAGCAAAAGTTTCTTGCAGAGGAGAGAGGGTTTATTAATGAAGCAACGGTTGCTTTTTTTGTGAACTGAAGCAGGCTCGACGGAGGTGCGACGGAGGCGCGGGGTAGGACGGCGGAGGCGTGCGGTTGGACGGCGGAGGCACGGGTTTGGACGGCGGTGGCGCGCGGTTGGATAGCGGAAGCGCGCCGGTGGACAACGGAGGCGCGCCAGTAGACGTTCTGCCACGGGTGGACGTTCTGGCTGGACCTGCGCACAGAGGCGGCGGCGATGGCGGCGATAGACGGAGTTGGAAGAAGAAAAGGTGAAGAAAAGGAAATGGAAGAAGAAAACCCTCTTACGAAGACAAGAAGAAGAAGAGATGGTTTAAGAAATAAGAAATAAAAAATAAAAAATAGAAATAAAAAAATTAAAAATTAATAAATTAAAAAAAATAACAAAAGATTCATTGAAGTAACCGTTGAAGAGCTGTTGGCAATTTTTTTTTTTTTTTTAAAAATCATTATAAATATGCATCAACTCAATTCAAAAATTTGGACCTCTTTAACTCTCTGCTACTTCTTTTATCTTACTTGTTTTGCTTTCAAAAATGGATCCTAACCAATACAATCATCAAAATCTTTTAAATTCTTTGCAAAACCAACCACCACCGACGAGTGCAAATTCTCAAATTCCTCCGCAATATGTTATGTATCCACCATCTTATTTTATTGAAAATTCTCAAAATCCACCACCTTATTGGTCAGCACCACAATATTATATGTTTCCAACACATCTACCTAGTGGTGATAATTCTCAAGGACCACAATTTTTTAGTCAACCACCACCTCTCACCAACCCAAATGCATGTTTTAGGCCCGCCTCTACACAATATTGACACTCCTAATAGTGAACTTGAATTACCAATTGGTCTCGATGGAATTCAACTAGATGGAAGTGTAGAGAATTCGTCAACAAAAAATATTCGTGTTCCATTCACAGTTCAAGAAGATATTATTCTCGTGGGGTCATTGGTCAATATATCGAAGGATCCAATCATAAGAGTTGATCAAACGTTACGACAATATTGGTCGAGAATCACAGAAGCATACAACAACGATGAAGACCGTGGCGAGTTCCTAGAGAGAGAATCGATCAACTAAAAGCACATTGGAATCGAATTCATCCTGCAGTTCAAAAATTTATTGGTTGCTACAAACAAGCAATTAGTCAAAAGAAAATCGAGAGTTCAGAGAAAGATGTCATGGCATTCGCATATAAGATTTACACTCAAGATACAGGTAAAAAATTTGATATGGAGCATGCATGGGTCATTTTGAGAGATGAACCTAAATGGCAATCTGATTTCGTGCAACACAATTCAAAAAGAGGGAAGGTAACGTCTGCAGGTGGTTACTCATCGTCTTCCAACACAAAGACACCCATTGAACTTGATGAATATGAGATACCAATGCCAACATCCCGTCCGATAGCACAAAAGGCAGCCAAAAGGAAGGCCAAAGTATAATGAAGGATACTTCCACCATGAATGAGGCACAAGAAATGACCCATAAAGGAGAAAATGCAATAAAGGAGAAAAATGTCTATGCATCAAAGCATCAAGACTAATTGAGTTGAAGGAGGCACAAGAAAGACGTTTGGCATATGAAACCATAATGAAGGATACTTCCAACATGAATGAGACTCAACGTGAAGCTCATGAAAAGTATTGTAACTATCTTAAACAACAATATGGGTTTTAATTTCTTTTAGGGTTTAGGGAAGTATTTGAGTTTTAATTTCTTTTATTATTGTAATTCAAATTGTGTTGTTATGAAACTAACCGTTATAAAACTAGCCGTTGTAAAACTAGCCGTTATAAAACTAGCCGTTGTAAAACCATTTATATGTAGACTTTGTCATCTAATCCTACTTATTCTCACATCTTCTCTCACACAAAATCCCCATCTATTCTTCTTCGATTTTTAGATTGATACGTGATGGATCGAAACAACAATTTAGATGATCCAAACATCAATTTAGATGATCTTTTGGATCAATTCATAGATGAGGAACTACCCGACAACACCGACGAAGAATTAGTGATACCTGTTGGCTTATGGGATACCTGCTGATTTTCTGGACGAGTATATTAGAATTAGTGAAACCACTACAGTGGAATGCTTACAAAGATTCGTGAAAGGAATTTGTGAAATATTTAGGGGTGAGTATCTGAGACGCCCTAATAACGAAGACATTCAACGACTACTACGGATGGGAGAGGCACGTGGGTTTCCTGGAATGCTAGGTTCAATTGACTGTATGCATTAGGAATGGAAGAATTGTCCAGTTGCGTGGAAAGGTCAATTTTGTCGAGGTGATCATGCCAATCCAACAATCATTCTTGAAGTTGTTGCATCACAAGACTTGTGGATTTGGCATGCATTTTTTGGACTGCAGGTTCGAATAATGATATTATTGTGTTAAATGCATCTACTGTATTTAACGAAGTTCTTTTAGGAACTGCTCCGACAGTGCAATACACCGTGAATAGAATGCAATATAATATGGGTTACTATCTAGCAGATGACATATATCCAGACTTTGCTACATTTGTTAAGACCATCTCCATGCCACAGGGGGGAAAATGGAAATTATTTGCCCAACGACAAGAATCAACGAGAAATGATGTAGAACGTGCATTTGGAGTGCTTCAATCTCGATTTGCAATCATACGAGGTCCGGCACGTTTTTGGGATGCTGCAATAATGAAAAATATAATTTATGCATGTATCATATTGCATAACATGATTGTCGAGGACGAGCGAGACACCTATCAAAATTATATTAATTATGATGGTGTAGATGATGACATGTCAAGATCTGAAATATCTATAGGTGCTCATCCCAATTTTAGAACAACATACCTTTAAAGGAGAGCAGACGTTCATGACAAACGAATACACCGCCAACTTCAAGCAGATCTTATTAAACATACTTGGAAACATTTTGGAAATAATAATGATGAAAATTAATTTCGTATAATGTTGATGTATTTACTATTGCTTTATTTTATTTTTAATATCTACTTATTGTGTATTTTTTCTCATAATTTATTTTCTTTTATTGTAGTGCAATTGTCCTTTTTAATAAAAATTTTAATTTGGTTCATAAATGATTTGAAAAAAAATTCTAAAAGTTGAATTTCTTAAAGTTTTTTACCATTAGAGTAAATTTCTGTTTGAGTTGCTTAATGCTGACATGGCACACTAGGGACCACTTTTTTCATTTTTCAATGCATGAAACAACTCAAATGATTTCTTCTATTGGAGATGCCTTTAACATATTTGACAAATATCATGCCACGTGTCATGTCATCATATCACGTGTAATGCTACATGTCATGTTGTCTAGCCATGTGACATGACACGTGTTATATCCATTAAGTATTTAAACGGAAGAGATGAAAAATTAGACATTGAGATACATTTTAAAAATGTAAGACTAAATTGATTCAATTAATTAAAGTGTGACTAAATTGAATCTAATAAATAATATAAAGGATAAAAAGTATATTTTTGCTATAAATATATTATCACCAATCTGACACTAAAAGAATATTATATATTTAAAATCAAACTTTACTTATCTACCTATACTAGGATAATATTTATCTAATAAGAATTAACCTGCTAGTTTAGATAATTGCAAGTCTATACTAATAATATAATACACACAAAACAATTTGTTAGCGTAGAAAATTTAAATATTAATATATTATATCACTCACATAATGCATTATATCATTTAGATTTATCTTTTTATTGACAATTTAATTTTTATTAAACAAAAGTTCTACTAATAAAGACAACTTTAATGAAGTTTTCTTCGTCTACAAGTTATACTAATAAAGACTACCTTAATAAGTATTTTGTTTATTAGCTTAAAAAGTGTTTTTACGACAAATTTACTCTTATATATATTTTTTCTTTCATCCTTTTATTTTCTCTATTTATCAACAAGTACAATGACCTCTGTACTGATACATGTCACATTTATCTTTGTATATGTATTAACGTGACATGTAAATAAATTAGTAGAATTGGTTTAATAGTAATAAAGTATTCATTTTTTTTTTTTGGATAATTGAAGTTTAGGTAGTAAGTCGTTATAACTGCCATTGTAAAATAAAGAAATATTTCGATAAATAAATTATTAAAATCACTTCAATCTTATATCTAATCATACTTTCATATTTTAAATATCTATTATTACTTCATATTTGGATGTTTTCTAGTTGAATTTATCACTTATCAACCCATCCAATGTTTCGTTCGAAAGCCTAGATTCGACAACTGTACTTGGACTTGGACGACCTTTGGTTGATTCAAGAGGCAGAAAACTAGAAGCAAGGGAAAATAAAATTATCTAAAGATGCCAATTCTCAAAAGCACTCAAAATCAATCATCTTATCATAAATAGTTATTCCAAATAACTTTTTTTTTATATTTATTTATTGAAGAACTATAAAGTGTCACTAACATTGTAGGGGCAAGACTGATTCCTTAATTTTGAGGCTTACAAATAAGGCATTACATGGTACACCAATAATACCAAAATTATTTAATTACTTCACTCAAGAGAAAAATAGCTGTACACGTGAAGAGAATTTTCCCTGCCTTTTCATATGCACTAGTTGTTCCTCAAGGGCGATACTAAACTATTAAAACCAAGGTTGCGATTCTTGCGATGTCTGTAACGAATTTTACAGTAGGATTAGGTGTTGAATTTCTGCTCAGTAGTGCTTGTTGAGACCTGCATCATTCAGTAACACTAGCGTAAACAATGTACGTATTAGAAATTTAGAATACAGTTCAAATTATTCTTACCCCATGTAAAAGATTTTTTCACATTCAGGTATGAAATTTATTTTGTACAAGAAAACTTCATGCAAAGTTGGCTGAGAAAAAAAAATGCATAACAATACGCAGTTGCTATAATAAAAAGTACTTCTGAAAGTATCACACAATTGTCACATTGCATACATTCAATCAATCATATTAATATGAAAACTTAAGAATTTTATATTCTTTTATTCTTACTAATCCTCCCAATACTGTATAAAATATTAACTAAAGAAGTAAATAATAATATCTTAATAATATAAAAAACATTTATTGATCAGTTAATAATTAAATTTTTTTTTATACCTTTTGTACTGTAGTTTCATTCAGTTCATATTTACATAAATTTCTCTATATGTATTTAAAAAAAAAGTAAAGTGAATTGGGCTTTTTACAAAGTTAAAATCAAGTTATGCACATAATTTTTACAGAAACATTTTTCATTTATCTTCTACAAAAACTAAGGTGCATGAGCACTAGCTTTAATTTGCAGAAAAGTTAAATCTATTTTACCTTTTTATTTTTTACGTAGAAGCTTATCTGAATAAGACCTTAGTAACATATTAAAAACAAATCATATTTTTGTCTAAGATTAAACGTTAATTTCTCTTTCAACAAATCTATCCCTGTCCTTCCAAATGGAAAGGGGGAAAAGTATGTGCTCTTCTTAAATAAACATTTATGAGGATCCTTTCACTATCAAGTTGTGACTCATGTTAACAGAAATCTACAGAGTAGACAAACAAGAGATTGTACTGACCTCAACTGATGTTACAAAACTGCATACTGCACATTTAACGGATCTTGCTCCATATTGGTACATGAGTAGCATCTTACAGTTCCCACAGTTAACATGTGCCACCTGATTTGCTGTTGCAATGTTCACACATACAAAGTAGTCACTCAAATGACCACAATTTAACTCGCAAAAGAAACTATGTCCATATCTTCTTGAATATGTATATACCACAAACACAACACACACAAAAGTTTTAAAGTTCATTAGGCAGTTAGTGGTTCAATACCTTCCAAGGCTAGATTGATCGTGTGACAACAAGAACATTGCACACTTGTGGCTCCACGGATGTACATGAGGAAAGTGTGACAACCTCCACAAACTAACTGGGCCATTTCAATGCCTATGCAAATAAATGATTATGATTTCATCTTCCTTATATTTGGTTGATCTAAAAGAATGGAATATGTAACAAGTTGAACTTCTTAATAACAAGAAAGACAAAGTTTAAGTACAGTACCATAAATAGAGTTGTGTGTTCTCCAATTAAAATTATAAATTCATTTTAATAATAATTATTTACATTGAATGTTGACTTGATTAATTTACATTTACACATATTATTAAAATAAAATTCAAATTTTAATTTGAGAACAACACTAACTATATCTATATCTATGGTACCCTAACTAAGTTTTGTCCTAACAAGAATTAGAGTGAGAAACTGCGGTGTACCAGGAGGTGGTACTGTTGTGACTGCATTGCAAACAGCACAGCACACAGAGGTGGCTCCAACTGGATAGAGCAGAAGATTTCTACACCAAGAACAGACAAGTTGACTCTGTGCACCTGGTTACCAAGGAAGGTTTTGACATGTTAATTACAAGTTTAAAGAAAATGATTATTTCTTCCCCCTTTTCTAGCACAACAGAGGTTCTATCATTCATCCTGTCATTAATATAGGTCCAATTTTCAAATGGCAAGCCTAGCCAGCAGAGAAATTGGACTAAAACAGAGAATATTTTACTTGAAAAGTTATATCTAGATTCTAACCAATTTATCACCATTCCAAACATATCAAGAATCTGAAAGGAATTTCACTGAACACAACATCTTCATGTTTAATCCACCATTTGAGAAAGTAAAGTTTTCCATTCTCCCTTCCCTTTAGGTGACATTTTATATCCGTGAGCCATTCTAAAGAAACAATAACTTGTTCCCTCCAATTCATACATGTTCAAATTGGACATTGGATTTTTCCTATTAATGGATAATGAAGGAGAGAATAATAAGCAACATGAATAATAAGCAAAGAAGGAGAGAATAATGAAGATACCATTTGGTGGAGGCGCATATGGAGCTGGTGGAAGGGGTGTCGGGTAAGGGGCAAGTGGAACTGGCATTATCTCAATTCTCAAAAATGTTATCTTTATCTACCAAACTCTACGTAGAGAATAAAACTCTTTCTCCAATTTGAACAACTCCTGGAAAATTTTGAAAAGGATTTAATAAGGGGAAAAAGTGATGCACATGAAATATGATGGTGGCATAAAAAGGCATGGAAAATGAATTCTAATTTGGCACTAATACCAGTAGAAACAGAGTGAGAGCAAATAAATTTGCAAACAGGAAAAAGTAAGAGGCAAATGACAAGCTTTGTTCCCCTTAGGAAACCATGCATTAAGCAACATGAATGAAGCATAAGAAGAAGAGAAGAGTTAAGACCCTCTCTCCACGAATAAAATTAAATTAAATAGAATAGTGTCCCAACTCCCAAGTTGGCGTGGGGCAAACACACGCCCTTGACAACTTGTTACAGATGAAATCAAGAGAGAGAAAGAGAGAGAAAAAGTACACTGAGCATATTGAAGAAAAACAAATGTTTTGACTTTTGCCAAAGATAAAAGCAAAGTTTTTTTTTTTAAAATAAAAAATTTCATGTATATTTCGTTGTAAGCAATTTTGTTCGAATCAAAAAGAATTGTTACATGTCAAAAACATTTATTTTAATACTTAATATAATTGTAAGAGTAGTCACTATTTCTTGGTCTTATTGTTATTTCCACCTTAATATCAAGCTTAACGTGACAAAGGAACGTAAGTCCTACTTCTCTTTAGATTCCTCTTTCAAGATTTCATCTGTGTTTTGTATTACCTATTCCGTTAATATTAATTGATTAGTAAATTATTTTAGTATTTTTAAAATTTTACATTAACATGTGCCATGTGGACTATAATACTGAGCCTGCAATAGACCACCTTAAACTTTTGGTTTTGTGTGCAAACACGAGGAGAGGAATGCAAATACAACCTATCCATTCTCCCTCGGAATTTCTAATTTGGTGGTACAATATGAGAAATAAAAACCATGGGCCACTTAGTCTAAAATTGTGGTCCCTTCAGTCATTTTGTGATAAAGAATAAATCCCAATTTCTCTCTTTCTTTCTTTTTTTCAAAAATATTTATATTATGCTATCTTTTTTTATTTTAAAAATCATCTACTTTGATATTGAAAGATTAATGTGTATTATGTTTTGGTTTATTTTGATGTAAATGATTTTATTAGGATCAATTTATTTTATGGACAACTCTTAACATTGAACAATCAGAATAGTGGTGAAAATGAAGATAAATGCTTAAGATCATCATAATATCATTCTACATTAAAAAAAGAGAAAAAAAAACTCTTAACACTTTTAGTAATTAATTTTGAATATACACTATTGAATTTGGAGTTACACAAAACAAGATAGAAAATAATAATAACGAGGTTTTGAAGTGGATAAAACAATAATTTTTTTTAATACTAATATATACAAGACTTTAAATTCAAACTTTATTATTATTATCCTTAGTTAGACTTTACTTATTTTTTTGGTTGAGTTAGACTAATTTAAGGCAAAATCTTAAATCATTAGTGTATAAAATATTTTTTGTTCTTCTTTTAATTTGAAAAGGAGAACAATAAAATTTAGTTCAAATTATACTTTTGGTCCCTCTATTTATTTTTAATATTCAATTTAGTCTCATTATTTTAAATAGCTCAATTTGATCTTATAATTTTTTTAAAATATATCCAATATTATCCTTTTATTCAAATTGACACTAATGAAATTTGATAGAAGGTAATATTAAACATGTTTTGTAAACTAGATGAGCAAATTTAATTATTTAAAATACCTAATTTGATTTCATTATTTTTAAAATGTTCAATTTAATTTTCTAATTTTTTTAAAAAAATGTTCAATATTATTATTTTACTTAATTTTATTAACATCATTAGTTATAATTTAGAGGTAAGAACAACATTAAATATTATTAAAAAATAATAGAATTAAATTAAATAATTTTACTTTCATTTACGTGGATTGCAAGATTTCAAGAGTCATTCTCCCTTGGCTATTAACCATTTTCTTTTCCAATATTTAGTTTAAAATTTCCCATAAACTAAAAATGAGTAATGCCTTTAATGTAAAAACTGGAGCATAAATTTAATTGTTTTTATTTTAGTAATATTGTCTCGTTCTATTAATAAATTTAACATCTACTAAATGATAAAATAAATTTTAAAAAAATAATGATACACTCTTATTTTTCTTAAGAAATAAATTAAATAACAAGGTTTAAAGCAAAAAAAATATTTTTATTTATAAATAAATTGTTATTATTAACCAATTTTTACTAATTTAAGTAGTAAAAGTTTTAACTTATTTAATAATACTTCTTTAATGGATCTACTCAACTTAATTCGAATTAATTAGATTGATACAAAATATATAATTATGAAGTATCGAGTGACTGAGATGAAAAGAATTGTCAACGCTCCTCTAATAAATAAATTTACTTAATAAAAAAGATGTTATTAGGCTGCAAACTATAGTGAATTGATCAAAAATCTATTTCAAGTTCAAGCAGAATGACACATTTGATTCTGGTTATTTTATCTTCTACCCTATGAACAAGTGAATGACATTCAACGTTGAAGTACGAAAATTATTAGTAATATGTTTTCTAATATATTATTTTGAATATATTTTATTTATTGATTAAAATTATTAAAAATAAAAATATATATAACTTCTTATTTAATAATTTTTGTAATATTTTATAATTTCAATAAATTTTAGTTAATAATAAAAACTATTACTCTTCACAATATATATAAGGTTATCAAACTTCAAGCATGATTCATTTATCTCAAGAAAGCTTATAGTGTCACTTTCTTTAAAACATTTTTTTTTCTTACACACCTATTATTATTGACCAAAATATATTAAAAATAGAAAATTGCGTGCATCTAACTCATTATTTAATAAATATCACTAATAATTTACAATACTTAATCAATATAAACCAATAAAGAAACATATTACGAAGAATATTTTAGAAAATGTATTCCTAACCCTCTCTTGTCATAATTCGTTCAAATCCTGTGAGATTCTTTGAATTTAAACGAATTGCACTGACATTGTGAAGAAATGAAGCTCAAGCAATGTGTTCTTGTTAATTATTATTGAAAAAAGTGTGTGTTAAAGTGGGTATATAATCTTTGAAGGTAGATGAAAGTTATATAAGAATAATAGATAGGAAAGGAAAGGAAATTTATGAGGTGTAGACTATGGAAGAATAAAATAAAGTACGATATGCATATATACGAGAGGGGGGAAAAGTATAGTATTGTTAATGGCCTTAAAGAGACAAGAAAGCGAGAGAAGCATGCATGGATAAGAGCTTAACATTGAAAAAGGACCACAAACCTGTACTTTTAACCATTTTCTCCCAAAAATATATTTTCTGAATGGCTTTGTACTTTGTAGGATTAGAATATTACCCTTATTATCACAAATATTGGGGTTGTTTGAAACCTTAATCACTGTCCATTCAACACATTATTACAGTATAAGTATAAAAGAAAGTTATATGAAACAAATATTACCAAAATACATGTTGGGCCTGAAGCTTGGATGAGGGAAAAGGATGGGCCCAAATTTTACGAGGACGAGGGCCCACATAGAGAAAGCTATAAATTTATGAAACCCCAAATGAAATCGAGCGGTGGCTACTAACTTCACTGGGCTGAAATTAATAAACACTGAACTCATCACTGTCACTCTCATTTCCACCATTTCCATTGTTCTCTGTTTTCAACCCAACATAATATTTCGTTCGATCGTATCTGTGAGTATCTTTATACTTTTTTAATTTTATTATATTTATCTTCATTTTCTGCATGCACGTTTTAAAGTGATTCACACAATTGATAGGAATAACAATATGCCTTACGCTAGTAAAATTCATCGAGCAAATCGGAAAACTCGTATGGTGAAACAAGATTCCTCTAATTTGAACAAGAAATGGATGGTGCCTTATAGATACTATTCTGACAAGGGTCCCAATCCCGTTCCAAACCCTAATGCTGACCCGTCAAGTTGGGTCCTCTGCAATGAGGAACATTTGAAAGATATTGCATTGAAATATATCAAAATTATATATAAAAATACTGTGTCGAGGCTCGTCGCTATGGGGCACAATGAGGATGTTGCCGTGAAAGCTGTTCTGCATAATGGACATTGTTATGGTGCCAATGATTTGGCAACAAACGTGCTGCACAACACCTTGGCTTGTTTGGATAAGGTAGACTTGGACGCGAATGAGTTAAAGTCTGCTTTCTCTGATTTGAAGCAGCTCGAAGAGTACTCTCTGCAGAGCCTCGTGTCTTTGTTGCAAGAGGTGAGGTCCGATTTGAGTAAAGGTGATGCTATGTGGTGTCTCCTCATGAGCAAATTTCATGTGGTAAAGGCAAGCGGCATCCAAGTTCCTGCTGCAAACCAGCGTCCTCCTCCTTTAACTGAATTTGGGAATGAGGGAGGCTCGAGTTTTCCTTTGAACGGGTTATTTTGTGGCAATGAGATGACTATACAGTTACAGAGAGAGATTGAATTCCCAAAAAGACTTGATCTTACTCCTGGCATGAAGTCCTTGTTGAAAAGAAATGTTGCAATGTTTGCTGCTGGTTATAGGACTAAACTAAAACAGTTGAATTCCCAAAAGGATTTTACCTTTCCTGGCAATAGCACCGTTTCAAAGATGGATTCTTCATCTGTTTCTGAAACTGTAGTCCCTGGTGAGCAGGCTAGTGACTCTCAAGATCTGAATGACCAAGATGACATGAACACTGTGCTGAGTAAATTTCTTGAGCTAAAGATTGATATTGATGAGAATTTGGAGTTTGTAGCAGAAGATGAGAAGGAGGAGGTGATAGTCACTCTAATGCATCAGATAAAGGATCTTAAGAAACAGGTCAAGGAGCGAAAAGATTGGGCTCATGAGAAGGCAATCCAAGCGGCAAGAAAGCTAAGCAATGATCTGATTGAGCTGAAAATGTCCAAGATGGAAAGAGAGGAGAATAAAAAGTTGACTGAGAAAGAGACAGAGTTGGTGCTTGACGACCCAACTGTGACTAGACTCTCAGAATTGGAGGATGCCTTGAAAAAGGTTAGTGGTCAAGTGGACCAAGCAAATGCAGCTGTCAGAGAACTTGAGATGGAGAAAGCTGAAATCAAAGCTGAGTTAGAGGCTTGTAAATTAAGTGCATCAGAATCAGTCGCAAACTGCTTGCAAGTGGCAAAAAGGGAGAAAAAATGCTTAAAGAAGCTTCTGGCTTGGGAAAAACAGAAAGCTAAGATACAACAGGATATTTCATATGAAAAACAGAAGATATTGGAGATACAAGAAGAATTGGCTCAGACTAAACAGTGTGCTCAAGAAGCTGAGGTTTGTTCATTTCATAACAAAAATAACATGTTTCTAGATTAGACATGGATGTGGCCTACTTTGAACATTTTTTGCATGAATGATTAAATATATCTAACTCTGGAGTGATTTTGAAACCTTACATGTCTTATACTTATTGGGCTTGTGTTTGTATATTACTGGTTTAGCATAGTATTTACCGTTAGGGACTTGAATAAGATAAAAGTGTTGTGCCTTTTCTTTTGAGTCCATTTCATACATTAGAACTTTTAATTGTGTATGTACCATGTGAATGTTGGAAAGTGCAGAAGAGGAGCTTTGTTCAATGGGGGCACAATTGGCTTTGGACATGTGTAAGACACAGCATGACACCTACTATCCTTGCAGGGTGCTTTGAATTGCTCTCATGTCATGCATTTTGTGTATGCCTATGCTTCTTTGCATGTTTATAAATGCATATACATTTGCATCGTGTTTTAGGTTATGCACATTTTCTGTTATTAAGTGTTTGAAATAAATTAAAATTGAAGTGATTTCACTTGAATGCATTCACCAATTCAACAAATATTTTGGACATGCTCACCTTAATTAGAAAATTGGTCTCAATTATCAGGTATATCTGTGTATGTAATTATGTATATACACCTGTCAGTGGATGTGTGAAGAAATCATGTCTTTCAGTCCATGTTGATCCTAAATACATACATTTTTGGTGTCTTCTGATTCATAAACTGGAAAGTGAATCGTATAAATATTCATCATGGTTATATCTGAATTTTCTATCAGTTGCTCGCAGTCAGATCAATTAGAATGATACAATTTTGTCAGCATTGAATTCATTACAACTTTCTTACCATTCAATCTCTTAGCTATGCAAAGGGAAGTTCTGTCTGGTGCTTTCTTAATTTTCTGCTCATTGGTGCTTCCTTTACTGAACTTGCTTTATAAATAAAACTATCTCTGTATCAGTGCATATGTGTGTATCTTCCTTTCTTTTTCCTGAACTTATTTTATGAATCATTTATTCTGCATAATATTATGACAGGTAATGAGGACAGAAGAGCTAAAGGCAAAGGAGGAAGCCTTAGCACTAATTGAAGAGGAACGCCGTTCAAAGGAAGCAGTTGAAGCTGATAATAAAAGAACCCTTAAGGCTTTACGCCTGAAGATAGAGATAGATTTCCAGCGTCGTAAGGATGATCTTCTAAGGCTTGAGCAGGAGATTTCACGTCTTAAAGCATCTGCACGGTCTGCTAATTTGCATCACCAGTCAAGCACTCTGCCTACAAGTGAGTCTAAGGATGCAGAGCCCCAGAGAGAGACAATTGCTAAGCTTCTGCAAGAATTAGATGACGTGAAGGATTTTTCAGGAGAAGTCAACGGTTATAGACAGTGCATTATATGTGGAAAAGATGAAGTTTCCGCAATTTTCTTGCCATGTGCGCACCAAGTTATGTGTGCTAGTTGCTGTAAAGAATATGGGAGAAAGGGCAAAGCCGTTTGTCCATGTTGCAGGGTTCCAATCGAACAGAAAATCCGTATATTTGGGGCAAGTTCGTAGTCTTTCATTTGTAAGCTATGAACTTTCTCATTTCTTTGCAGTCTCTGGAGTTTCTTTATCCTTAATCTCACACTGCTGTGGGGTGTGAGCATAATGAGGGATATATCACATTAAAGCTATGTTCTTCTGTATCTTTTAAATGTCTGAAAATCTGTTGTTAGCTTGAAAATAAGAAATAGGCAAATACTAACAAGTGTTCTGAAAGCACTGATCAAGAATTAAAAAAAATATAGGATTGAAGGATGATTAAAGACTTTTGAGTTGTTAATGCAACAAATGTTTCGTTTTAATTCAATACTGTATACTGTATAGCGTGTTTGCATCTGCGTCTCTGGTGTGATTTTTCGCGTCTCAACTGAAGCTACATAGCTTTTGCTTTTGCGTATTTTGCATTCAAGACGAGAACCTAGGATCTATGATTTAAAATCTATTCCAAACATGCACTTAATGTGTTGATTCCTTAATAATATTCAGTTATGGTTCCTGGGCACGAGTCTAAGAATTAAGTAGCATATGATTTTCACCCCCTCAATCTTATAAAATGTAGAAAATTTATTAAGGTACACAGTATTTTGTTCCTCTAGTTTAATTTTCTTGGTTTCCGCTTTATTTCATTTATTGAGTACTCTCATTGGACTTATATATATAAAGGGAAAAAAGGTAATTTCATACAGATGAAGAAACTTAATTAAACATATTTGATTTTCACGTTTTCAAATAAAATATATACATTTTTTAAAATATAGTTAACTACACTTATAATAAATAATGCTCTCATTTATTATTTTTAAAGTATTTGGATTAAGAGCATTAAATGAAATTGATTTAACTGAAATTTGTTTATATTTTAATTTAAAAAATTGAGCATTGTTTTTTTGCTTATATATAGGTTTATACAAGGTATGAGGCTATTCTTTAGATATCTAATATTTTCAAACATTTAAGTGATAATCAATATTCTAATTAGACCTATTTATAAGAAGAAAAAAAACCAATTTTACAAAGATTTAGAAAGGTAATTAGATGCATTTAATCTTTATGACTTTATATAAAATATATATTATATTTATTAAAATATTTTTAATCAAATTTCTTGTAAATAATGTTCTCATTTATTATCTTAAAAATATTTTTGGATTAAGAAATTAAATAAAATTCATTTGTTTGAAATTTGCTTTTGTTTAAATCAAAAAATTTTAAGCATTTTTTACTTCTATATAAGTTCGGAGGAAGTATTCTTGTTTATCATTTTATTTTGTATCAACATCACTAATCATATCAATTAGTTATCTATTATGTTTTTGCATCTCTCAAGTTGTTTATACTGAAGGAGTATTTATAAATCCTTTTCCCACTAAATATTTTCTTAATATTTGGGTTAAAAATGAAAACATGATATATTCATATTTTGTAGTTAGTAAGTTAAAAATAATTGCTAAATTAAATAAATTTGATATATTACTTAAACATTAGAGATCATGGATAGTTGTTGACGATACTACAATAAGAAAGATCAGTGAAAAGATATAGAAAATTATATTTTGATGTGATGATATAAAATTAATAGAATAAAATTTGACTTTTGCTCTCTTTATTATTATGTACAATTTTTTTTTTTTTTTTTATATTATTTTTATATTATTTTTTTATACACAAAATTTGAACTTAAGATCTTGATTAAAAAAATTGAGTCTGATATCACTTGGAAACTAACTAACAATTTTGATTCTCCTTTTTGTTTTGAGTGAATTAAATTTCTTTATTTTAAAAATGATTATGCAGATTCAATTCTACCAACTTTAGGTCTGACAGTATACACTGGGTTGGGCTAAATTAGGATTAAAATGTTGATGCTTATATTTTGTTGACTATAAGTTTTGATGGGTTATGTAAGTAGTGCGCAAGGCTGATTTAATTTTTGATAATTTTTTTCCACACCAAAGTGGAAAAAAACGATCGAAACCCTCTCAACCGATTCAGTTGTTAAGGTTGATGTATGACTGATAGCGACACAAATTATCTCAATTTAATTAAAGCTTAGTTTCTAATATGCATAAAATTGAAAATACAAATGGCAATTTGTTTGTGGAGCCACATGTTGAAATCTCAGCTTCAAACGGATATGGAGAAGTTGGAAATGCACGAGACAACCGCTTACTAATATAACAAAACAAAAAGAAAAAAGAAGAAAGAAATCAACCCCAGCTGTTTGAGGACAACAGCATTCACATTTATGATTTAGATTAAAAAAAAGAAGGTACGTTAATATATGAAATAGAACAGTTCACACGGTTCTTCCCATATTATGGCTATTATTGGTTGCATTCCCGTGAAACCAAAGGAGTCAACACCACCTTTGGACTATGCCATAATATATCACAGTATCATTTGCACACTTGCCATGTTGCAGCTGGCAGCAGCACTCTTTAATGCAAATGAAACTCTCAACCAGGCCAATGAAGAATTCCACGCACTACCTGCTTTGTCAAACAAATATGATTCCCTCCATCGGTTAGAGTTAGGTCAACCAGAGCAGTTTATTTATTTATTACTATTATTAGGATATAACTTAAGAACACTAATATATATATTGTTTTCTTATCAGAATTAAAATTTTAATTTGAAAATATGCTTAAGAAAAGATTTCATTGAATATCAACTTATCTGGATAAAACTTCAATTTTAATTAAAGAATAATACTAAATATTGATATATTGTATTTAAGCTTTATGACTTCATATAATTTATTCAAATCCTCGAGTACTAATGTAAATTATTCAACCCCTCAACTACTAAACTGGTGGTTTCTAGAGCGAGGCGCAGTTGCAAACTGGAATTTGCAAACAAGTATTGTACCAACACTAGAGCAGTAATTGAGCATCTGTGCTAATTAATATGATCTGCATTGTACTTTTATGTACGTCACTTGGTCGGTACAACTAGTCACCTTCACGATATTCAACTACAAAATCAAGTATTTCTAGATATCATTTTAACTGTTGGGTGAGGAAAATTCGAAGCATTCTTTGCCGATTTTTTATGGTTTGCACGATCCCTCATAATTTTTGGCCCTCATAAAAAAAATAGTCAGAAAATACAATCACCAAGGTGACATGGAACCAATCACCACAAAAAATAGTGCTAGTATAATTGGAGTTCTCTTCTTTGTTAACTTTTAAGACTTGAGAGAGACACTCAATTTAAAGCATTGTCACTTTAATGGAATGCACGTGAACGTAGAAATGACATTGCCAGCTTCAACCTTTCACCCGCCTTATAAAGTTCACACTTGCGTAATGGACAAAATTGGGGCTCTCTTTTGATACATCTAGACTCCCCATTAACACACAAAATGACAAAAATATCAGTTCCTTTTCCCCTTTTTAAAACTATTTCTTGTGTTGTGGCTCATGAAATTTGAAACACCACCTTAGAAGCCTGCTAACTTGTTGCACCCTCACTACAATTTTCTGCACCTTGATTAGTTAAGAAATGGTTCCCAAAGTTTATGCTGGCCAAGAAATGGCAATGGAAGAGAATGAGAATTGCATGGTGAGTGGGAACTGGAAGAAACGTGTGCATGTTTTAGGTGAGAGGATGAGGAGAATTCCTTGTAAGGCTTGGCATACTACATGGAAGGTGGGACGTGAAGACCCAAGAAGGGTCATCCATGCATTCAAAGTGGGTTTGTCTCTAACTCTTGTTTCTATGTTGTATTTGTTGGAGCCACTTTTCAAGGGGATTGGGCAAAGTGCTATATGGGCAGTCATGACAGTTGTGGTTGTGTTGGAATTCACTGCAGGCAAGTGATTCTCTTAAATATAAAATGCATACATGATCAAAATTAATCACTCTTGCATTTGATACATTTCCGAAGTACAAAAGTGCTAGCAAGATTCTTTCTAACATTCTCTTATTAATGTTCTTTCTACTATTACTTAGAAATCATAAGTTTCAATGTGTTTTATCACTAAATCAAGAGAAAAACCTATTAAATAAAATACGGCCCTACAAAATTTGTTATTTCTAATAAGTTTCGACTAATAATAAAGAGTGTTAGCTAGCATTTCTCTTCATGTGTATCATGTGCTTGATGCATGACATGTGTTGGATGACCTTAATACTTTTATTTGGTTTCAGGGGCAACGTTATGCAAAGGGCTCAATAGAGGATTGGGGACACTGTTAGCAGGATTATTGGCATTTCTTGTTGGGTATATTGGACATGCATCTGGCCGAGTCTGTCAAGCTATTATCATCGGAGCTGCAGTTTTTTTTATAGGTTGATAAATATGCTTTACAAATTTATAAGAAGTCAGTCAAGTAATAAAATTAAGACTTAATTAAATTGACAAACTCGTGATGATGACTAAATATTAGTCTTGAACTAAATTTGTTATTGCAGGAGCTCTAGCTACATATATGAGGTTTATTCCGTACATAAAGAAGAATTATGACTATGGTCTAGTTATATTTCTCTTGACTTTCAACCTGATCGCTGTGTCGAGTTATCGGGTTGATAATGTCTTGAAGATTGCACATGACCGTGTATACACCATTGCCATAGGCTGTGCAGTTTGCCTTCTGATGAGTCTACTGGTATTTCCAAATTGGTCCGGAGAAGACCTCCATAATTCCACAGTTTACAAGCTTGATGGCCTTGCCAAATCTATAGAAGGTATACAAACACCTAATATAGTCAACCAAGCATAGACTTTAGAAAAGAATCTCGTGTCATGTTATATCTTTGTTGAGCACATATCTGATACCTACATTTGATGATCTTTATCTTCCTTTCATGTGACTACTTCTTTTTACAACTAAAACTAACTATAAACTAACCTAAAACTACTTACTCTTCCATGTGACTACTTCATATTAATCATCAATTTTAACCAAAAACTACTTACTCTTTATATATATATATATATATATATATATATATATATATATATATGTGTGTGTGTGTGGTTGGTATCTTTTGACATTAAGTGTTAAAAATAGTATAATTATATTTTTTAATAATTGCTTGTAAAATGTAAATTTAACTCACTCAACTTAACTGTTGTATTTGATGTATTTACTAACTTTTTAAATCATATAACAAGATTTCATAAACAAAATATAATAGTTCCACTGCATCACTTATTTTAATGTACACTAGTACAAAACATGAAATTTATGTCACTAGATTCTCGTCGGACAAAAAATACTCCGACGTTAAAAAGATGCGGTGACAGTTTTGTAATATAATATTTAAAATATGTAAGTATTTATTATTAGATAACATATATAAAAAGTTAAATTATGTAAAATTTGACATAAACATAAAATTACATAATTTAAAAGTTAAATTTATTTAATTTACATTTTACAAAAATTTATTAAATGTGTAATTTTACTAACTTTAACACCTAATATCAACAAATTCTGACATATATACATGTATGTACATATACATACTTATTATATTTGTTGGAGACAATTTACCTAACTTGGTCCAACAAACTATGGGGTTAGAAGTAGGTTGGCACTTGACCCAATTTTTATATGGATTGCATTTTTGTTAGCTTAACTTATGTATGGAATCAGTCAAATTGAACCATTTCTTATCTTATATGTATTTTAAAAGAAAAACAAAATCAAAGATGTTTGATAGTTGGGCCAAATTTCATTGGGCTAGCCTGATTAAATTGGCCTGATCTTTTTCAAACTTAAAAATAAAATTTTTTGTAAAATTTCAATTTTGACACCTCTAATTGTGGATGCCAAAGGGTGTCATAAAGTTTCTTACCTTATAAAACTAGATTTGTCATTATAGTGAACATTCTGTGTTCTTTATTATAACAAAAAATAAAATAACACACTTTTTTATTTTTAAATATAAATAAATTTTAACCATTTTTATCTCATTTAATGAAATCTTCTCTAAAATATCCTTCTTTTAATTTGTATTACTTCTTTTAGTATTTATAAAAATATTATAAAATTAATAAAATTTAATATAAATAACTAATATTTTATACTCGAAAATCTATTAGATGGGTCAGCGCTGTAGTGTTTATGATTATAAATATAACAGATATAAATGATGTACTTTTAGAATGTAACTTGATTTGACCAAATACTAAAAGTAGATAAATTTTAATATTACTATAGATTAACACTGTGAATGTAATTAAAATGTTGCAGCTTGTGTGAATGAGTACTTTTACGGAGAAATTGAAGGCACCGGAAATATGAAACTGTCTGATGATCCAATATACAAAGGTTATAAGGCTGTTTTGGATTCAAAATCCATTGATGAAACACTGGTAAGGCATTGAGTGAGTCATGTACCGATAAGTTCATTTCAATACATTCATTCCCTTCGAATTCAATGAAACACTCAAATAGATCTTCTATTTTGAATTGGGCAGGCATTGCATGCAAGTTGGGAGCCAAGGCATTCAAGATACTGTCACAGATTTCCATGGCAGCAATATGTCAAAGTTGGAGCTGTTCTTCGTCAATTTGGTTATACTGTGGTAGCCTTACATGGCTGTTTGAGAACTGAAATTCAGGTAAAGCTTCATAAATTTTTATCATCTATTTGAAGCTAAAGAACTTGAACAATTGCTGCAACAGCATAGTATGTTATGTTATAGATTATCTATGATGTCAAATAGTTGGTGCAACTGGATATTTTTTAATCACACTAACACTATGATTCGTACACTTTCATTTGTTAGACACCACGATCTGTGAGAGCCATGTTCAAGGACCCTTGCATTCGGCTTGCAGCAGAGGTATCAAAAGTACTGATAGAACTTTCCAACAGCATAAGGAATCGCCGCCATTGCTCCCCAGAAATCCTCTCTGATCATCTCCATGAAGCCCTTCAGGACCTCAACACTGCCATAAAATCTCAACCTCGCCTCTTCTTAGGCCCCAAACACAGGCACAGCCAAGCCACCAACATGCTCAAAATAGCTGCTGAACAAGTTGGTCAAGAAAGACATGGAAAAAGCTCACTATCAAGTGTTAAAACTGATTCTTCAGCATTGCTAGAATGGAAAACAAAAAGGGTTTCCACTGAACAGACAAAGGAATCAGAACGCAAGTCTTTAAGGCCACAGTTGAGTAAAATTGCTATCACTAGCCTTGAGTTCTCTGAGGCTCTTCCTTTTGCTGCTTTTGCATCGTTGCTTGTGGAAACCGTGGCTAAACTGGACCTTGTCATAGAGGAGGTTGAGGAACTGGGGAGATTAGCATGCTTTAAGGAGTTCATACCTGGTGATGAGGTTGTTGTCACTTGTGACGAGCCTCGAGTTGACGTGTTCCAGAACCATTTGCCTTCTCACGGAGTGGACTAAGAGAGAGAAAGAGCCCTTAGATGCTGCATTATTTCATGGATATGGATAATTAATCTGTTATTTGATGAATTATGGTGATGAATACTGAATATGATTAATATATTTGAATATGTTTGAGACTTTTGATATACTGTCGGTAGGGATGTTTCTCAGGATGATGATATATTTCAGGTTATAAAATGCATTATGCATGGATGCATTCACCGTTTAACTGTTGATGGCATGACTCTCAAGATGTTCCTCTGCAATGCCCGTATTGATAATAGAAAACCTTTCTCTACGCGGCTTGTTATCTAATATACGCTGCCAGGGGCTCACAATTTGATAATTTACAGCAAGCAAAGTCTAGATTGTAATTGTCTTATTATGATGATGGACAAGAGAACCTTTTTGGTGATGAGTCTAGGTTACTAAGGAAGAAATAGATTTATTTTGCAGTCTAAACCGAAAGCTTATACCACAAATAAATGCATAAAGAACAAAGAATACTACCCTTTTGACTTTCATGATTGTTGTTTTTGTCTAATATTTTGTGCATAAATATTAAATAACCAAGACTATCTAATATGCCATTTTCTCATCTTCCACTAGAAAGATTCACCAAGAAATATAAACTACCACTACCAGTGTCTACTATATATTAACTTTCATCGAGGATGCTTTTCACAAGTGGAACATAATGGTAAAGGAAAATTTTCTTCATACAGCCACATAAAACCTAAAAGCAATTGGTTAGTAAGGAAAAAGCCACATATATAATATAGACCGGATCAATGGAGTCATAGTGGTGGGTGCTTTGGATGTAGTAAAGGATAATTTTCCATTTATAGGAGTTTTCAAATTTAGGCCTTAAGAAAAAGTTGCAAAGTCATACATGAGTGAGCCTTATTTATAGAGATTCTTGCCAAGATGGAGAAGAACGTGTGGTACAATTTGCAAATTTCTAAAGACATCTTTTTTAGGTGGCAGCTTCCCTGGAAGCTTGTGAGCTCATCAATGTGCAGCTCCACATGCAACTCATGAGTATTACTCTGCCCAAGTGCCTATAACTTGGATCTTTCCATTTGCAAGTTGCATTCTCAAAATATGGACAGTGAGGGAATAGAAACAACAGCAAACATGGATATCCTATCAATGCTCTCACTCCCCTACCATTTTAAATTCAGAATCCCCTTCCTCTAGTTGTCTACTAAGATTAGTGGGATATTGCATATTTAGCTCACGACTCAACATATAAAACTATCGAGTTTAATTATCAATTTCAAACTAAGAAAGCATCCTAAGTGAAAACAATGAAACAATCACAGTTCATTATATTAAACTACAGTTGGTTATAAATAGAATCTCGGATTTTGAATACTTTATCACACTAGTTTTATGTCATTCTTACCCTAGGGGGTATTTTGCCTAACTATAACCTAAGTTCAGTTTCACAATTATATCTACGGAGATATTTGGTAAAAGAAAAAGTATTTACTAGGTATCTTTTGACAATCTGCATTTCCTTCTTTTTGGTTTTTGACCTATTGTTTGGCAACACTTTAGCTTTGTCTTTTCTTCTTTATAGATGTAAAGAAATGACGTTGAAGTTTATTTTCACCAGAATACCCCTAAAACTTTTTCATTTGAAAATATATTACCAACTTAGTAAGTTTCATATTCCCTAGACAATGTCACAGTGGTGCTTTTCATTATTAAATTCTTTGGAAGCCTGCCCACTTGGGATAATAAATCAGGTGGAAATACCTGGACTTTCAACTGTCAAGGTTTGGAGAAGAACAAATTAAAAAATGAATTATATTTTGTCCGTTAAGTTCTCAAGACTTGTTCTTAAAGGAGGCTATTTATTTAGACCCATAAGATTCAGTATAAGTAGTAGATGGTTGAATTATTTGAGTATATTAATAAAGTTTCGATTATATGATTATATATAAAAGACTAACAAAGACAGTTGAATTTAATCACTTTACTGGGTTTGGTTTTATGTATCGGGCTCTTTCTTGATAGTTTTGTATGCATTTATAAAACCTTTTAGCTGATCTGTGGCATGTCATATGCTAAGACTAGTCTTTCCTTCCTATTAATAAGACTCGTTTGCTTTAAAAAAAATACGATCATCTATATAGGAAAAACTTTAGCATGGAGGATATCTTAATAATTTTAAAAAAGAGATGGTTCAGGAGTATGGCACACCCGGTTATAGTGGGCTGAGGGAGCAGAGGCCTGTTATCCCTCCACTGTGAGGAGAGGGAGGTAATCGCTGCTCTGTGAAGCCAGCCTCACGCTGTGCCCTCCACTTTAGGAACAGGGAGACCCGGGCCTTCGCCCAAGTCCCATTGCTCGACTCCTAACTTGGAGCGGGCAGGCCTGCATAATGCATCCACCAGCCCAACCGAGCGTGGCACATACCATGTTCCATCACTTTGTTGCCCCCATTTGGGTTACAAGCTAGAGTTACCAAGCTCGGCGAACTCTGGCACATGTCAGAGCCTTATAAAGAATGATTTGTATAAGAAACTGGTCGATGTGGGACTTATCCCTTCCATGAGGTGGAAATCGCCTAAGGTGGAATATAAAGAGTGTTATTATCATGGTATACTTGAATCTAGCCGGACAACTAGTGAGAAAGATGTGGAACCAAAATTCCAAATTGTTGTACCAGAGCCCCAACTACAAGGAAAAGTGGAAGATTTCATGGATTGTTAACCCAGGTAGACGTAGACGTAGACTTATGTAGTCAAGTTATAACCAGGTGATATCCGTTGTTAGAATCTACTAATCTAGACATGGCTCCAAAGCGACAAGTGAGGTTGCAAGCATTTTCATTTAGGCTTTGTCATACACACGTGTACGTGTTTGAGCTAGCTAGACTTGCACTGAAGCAGCTGCCAGCTGATTTAACTTTCATTGGTTGCTCATGTATGAACTTTGCACTATTATTAGCGTATCCACTCTACTGCAGCCTCTAGTAAACTCACGAGAGCATATATTTGCACAAATTAATTTTGCTATTTCTTGTATGAAATCGATAGTTTAAGCACAAAAGTCAAAGTAAAATGGTAAATCAATTGTATCACAATTGACAATTTATGCTGTTATTCCTTGTTCATAAAGTATGTAGTTAGATATCTCATATCCCCAAAGGGATCAGGATTTTCACTTATTACAGCACAATTTTATCACAGTTGTATGAGTGTACCAACCACTCATATACAATCCGGAAGTTTTTGTGATTGAAATTAGTGGAAGGCTTTGAATATCGATTAGATTTTAACTTGGGTAAATATTTGAAGTCTGAAGAAATCTTAGAGTTTTCAGGTGAAGGCTGGTTCATTTATCAAAATTCAACATTATCTTAATTTGTGATGAGCCACAGTAGAATGAGGAAGAATTGATGGCTAATATAATATGAGGGAGATGTGCATTAGAAATTTTAGCAAGGGCTTTGATGTCTTTCTCAATTATTAATTATTAATATAAGAAGCAAATTACAATAAATAAATAATAAGAAATGAGTTATGATAATCTATCTGAATGAGCATATTCTTTACATTGAAAAGTAGCATGTTGGGCCTGAAAGAGAAAGGCCCAGTTAACAGAGCAGAAAATAAGAGAGAAGAAGAGGTTTGACTGGAGACAACAAGAGGCAGAAGAAGAAGAAGAAGATGAGTGGTATAGCGTTGTCCCCCGCGGCTTTGAGCCCCGTAATCCCTAACAGAATCAGGAAACTCAGACCAAAAGCCTCGCTCCACGCACAACAAGCTTTCACCTCTGACCCCTACGTTCTGGAACTGGCCGAAACGCTAGAAGAGTCCCTCCCCTCTTCTCCCTCCACCCCACTCCCTCTCCACAACCTCCGCCACGCCTCCTCCGAGGCCCTCCTCTCCACGCCATGGCCCTCCCGCCGCCACGAGCCCTTCCGCTTCACCGACCTCTCCTTCATCCGCCAATCCCGCATCCTCCCCGTCCCCC